CGTTGTTGTGAGAGTAAGCTTCAATATTAAGCCCAATATATGTCATGTTTGAATGAACCTAACAGAACTTGGGAGACAAGAGTTGGTGAGACTTATACTTCGTTTATTTAGTGTCTCTAGATGTATTAATTCTCACGAAATGACTTAAATCTTTTGCAAAGCAATCAATATTGTGTTTGATTTTAAATTCGGATCAACGAGTGAGACTCCTTCATAAAATTATAATCTATCTACCACTCTTTTGATATGAGACAATTATTGTCTACATCAACACGAAAAATCATAATAAGTTAAACCGCTATTTTCAACATTAAAAGGTACCAAATCCGTAGGGTAACCCGTAGTTTCATACCTCATGCCACTCTAGACCCCAAGCTATAGGAATAGGAGTGTTAAACTCATTTCAATTTAGTAATGGACCTTAGGGGTGATACATCCATACAATCATATGGGTGGTACCTAACTAACCTAAGCGATCAAACCTTGTCTATATCTCGATCCTTTCTTTATGTACCGAAATGAAATATAAAATCAATTTTAAGTTACTACTCGTAGTAATCAGGATTTCGTATTGACGAAATACATGTTCTAATAATTGCATGCTAAATTTGACTAGTTATAGGAGTAATAAATGGTAACCCTTGGTCAAATTGGACTTTTATATTCAATCACAGCATGGTGGAAATGTCGAAATAGTTCGATAATAAACAAATAAAATGGTGTCAGTGTCTAGCCAACACTACTCTATTTTGACTTAGTTTAATTTCTTTCTTTTACCAAGAAAAATTCTTTGTTTATGATTACAGGTTATGTAATAATCAAACCAAATAATTGTATCTACTTTTGACCTTTTCATTTCTGCTTGTAAAACTTGTAAGATTCAAACATTGTCCAAGATTTTTGAGCAAAAATAGAGTAGAATATAAAGGATTATTCATGAAGTTTGACAATCCAATAACACTAAGAAAGTCTGAAAGTGTTTGCTATTTGAATTCTTAGGATGTTAGTTATACTCCCTCTTGTTCAAGTAATAGGTGCTTTTTAAAATTTTGACTTATATTAAGAACTTGATTAAATCGGATTTGATTCATAGTTAGGTAAAACAACTCACACGGTAACACACTAACACGTGAGTTAAATGTGAACTATGTAGGATATGAAGATAAGATGACGGACTTATGAGATCGGTAAACTACTACCCGTTTTATAAAAAATTCACATATGACCGCAGAGCTTGTATTTGATCAGACTTTCTTCCAACATGGCCTTGTAAAGACGTAGAGATTAGAGGTAGTTCAAGGTAAGAATTTTAGAATCTTGTGTTTCAGGTTTGGGCCTCATTTGTCCCACTAGTCACTATTATTTTGAGAGAGGATCTAATGGTGCGGCCCATCATACATTTAACTTAAAATAGAATATAAATAAATAATAAATAATTTTTTGTTTAAAAAAAAAAAATCATTGAAGTTAGTCATAGGGGTGAGCAAAAATTCCGGATACCCGGAATTGGAACTGGAACCGGTTAGGAATCGGCGAGTCTGAACCTGAATTGAACGCGGTGGTTCTAATTTCGGGTAATAAATTAAGGAACGGGATGCAACCGGTTCCAATTTCAATTCTTAATTTTTGGATCCGGAATCGGTTGGGTACCCGATTACTCATTATATGTTAAACTAAATATATTTAAAACATAAAAATATGTGGAATATATGTAGTTAGTAAAATGACTAAAATATATTATTAATCCTAACATAAATAAAATAGTTTCATGCATATAAAAATATAAGTATTAAACGCTGAAATGAAAATGGATCAAAAAAAGTATTATAATTGTATTAAATTTTAACATTTATGTACAAAATTGGGTACCCGAAATCGGAACCGGTACCCGGCGGTTCCAATTCCAATTCCTAAAATTTAGGACCCGGTTAAAGCGGTTCCAATTTCAATTCCGAATTTAAGGACCCGGCCCCAACCAATTCTAGGCCCGATTCCTAAAATTTTGATCGGATAACCGATTTATTTGCTCACCCCTAGTTAGTCATAATTCTCATAAAGGTCTTTATGAAAGGTACTTCGTATAATATACTATATACCTCATAATATGGCAAGCCATCCTTACTATATGTGCACATGTCTTATGTAAGATTATTTTCATTTTGATTTTATGTGCTTGCTTTCAAAGCTCTTTTTGGAGGGAATAAAAAAACACACATCCACAAGTGTATTCGATCAAATATTATAGGCCTAATATTTATTTGGACACAAACTATCACTCTTTTACCATCTTGTTTTGGCTTTATCCTGTCTAATAATATTTATTCATAGTTTAATGTAAACTCTGTTTGATTCAACTTGTTGTATCCAGACTGATCTAAATATATTAAAAATTTGTATATACAATTAGTATTTTAAAATAAAAAGTCTAAAAAACAAGACAAATTACAAAATAAATCCATGTGTTACAAAACGTTTTATTGGCTTTTAGGAGTAGGCACAAATAAAGGTTAAGTTATCCGTGAACATGATGAAGGGTACCGAATAAGTAGAAGGCGACTACCGTCAAGTCAAGCGTGGCTGCCAGCCAGCTCTCTTCAATTTTGGTCCCGTTAGGCGTTTGGCTATCGATTGGCTCAATTTTTTGCCATTTAATTCTCCACTTTAATTAATGATTGCGATTGCCTTTTTTAAGTGCCCACACCAAGAGGGCATTTTACAAGGTTTTTGTGGTTTTCATTAGATATTTTTGTCTCTGTTGCTATTAATTAGTGTTTATCTTAATGAGTCGGATCTCTTTAGTCTGCCGATTTATATTTTTAAATGTATTGTTCGGAAATGTATATGTATTCTAATTTGAAAATGAAAAGATAAGAAATAAATAAATAAATAAATCTAATTTAATTACCGTTCAATTTGATGACTTTTAGTTAATTGTTTTATGATTTGCATTTCCGCTTCCAACACTCCAAAGACGAAGAAGTAATAGGGCTTGCACTTTGTATTATGTTAGCATGTTTTATAATCAATCGTACCAAACATAATTATTTGGACGGAGGTTAATGAGATAATAATTTATAAATACATGCCAAAAATAAACTTTTTTATGTTTTTTTTCATTTATAAAAGATTAAAACCAGTATCTTGACCTTCAAACAAGACATGAACAGGTAATGACATACTAAATCATAAAAATAATTAGGCATTGAATGTAATACGCAAGTGCATGTAAGTTTGATTAAAATAGTATAGTATGTACGTCTTCTGTTACACCATACTTTGATGTCTCAATGTACAAACTTTTGCACAAAGACAATATCATGAGAGACGTAAATAATACAAATTGATTGGATTTTGGTCAGGTACTGCAACAATGGATAAAAAACAAAATTTCTGAAAACATAGTAAATAAATAAATTATTAAATTATTAAATAAAATCACTCAATATTGAATTGTCAACATATAAATGATATAATTGATGTCGATGTTGGCACTTTCTAGCAAAGTATGATTTTGATCATATATTAATTAATAGTCATCAATTCAAGTTCTTGTTGTTGATTGTTATGGAGTAATTTGTTTTTATTACTCATCTTTACATGTGTTTTTAAAAAATTAATCGATTTGATATTAAAGAGGATAATGTTTTCAAAAAAAATTAAAGAGGATAAACCTTAACAAATTAAAAATGAATAACTAGTGACGTTAATAACTAACTTAGGTTTTGAAATATATATGACAACATCTTATACGGAGTATAAAAGCATTACATCAAGATAATGCTTAGAATCTTAGCTCATAAATGCATCAATATTCAACTCTTATAATAGTGTGAGGAGGAAAAAGAGTGCAAATAATTAGGGGACAATGGTGTTTATCACTACTTTTTTGAGAGACGAATTCGAGTTATTATCATCATGTTAGAAAGAGTTTATCTATATCTCTAAATCCTTTTCAAGACGTATCCTTACTGTATTTGTTTGAGTTTATGTTTCTACCTTATTATTTACATAATCAAAATTTAAATTCGACTTCACATCCTTACCTTGATCTCTTTTGATCATTACACTTTACCACTTATGACTAGTACAAGTACCGTAATAGACATTATTTTACTTTCTTATTATTATTTTTTTTGAAAAAATGAAGCCAAGATCAGATTTCCATTTTAAATTGTGAAAAAAAAATCCGAGTATGGTACGTCTTCATTTTTTATTTTTTTTTGGAAAGAAAACGGGGAGCTAGATAAGATGAAGAAATCCGGAGTATGATGTTTCATTCAAAGCCATAAAGGTTGGAATCAAAAGTAGAGATATCAAAAAATAATAATGGTAAACAATTGATTTTAATTTGTCAAAAATTCCCCATATTTATATATTGCTTTGTAGAAATAAACCCTAATATGATGATGGTAAGGACTAAGGAGTATTAAACAAGAAAATATTGATCTAGTCACAAATATTAAATACAATCTCTAATGAAAATTATAAACTTATAACAAATCTCATAAAGTATGAATTATGAGAATATTATACTTCGTATTTACCAATTTCTATTAAATCTTCATCCAAATGGTAAGTTGTTCGCTCCTCTAAAGTGCTTTCATATACCTTTTAGTAAAGGTCGATATTTTCTATTTTTAGAAAATAATTAGATGGAAAAATTATAACAATCCCTCTATGAAGAATCAAATCATGAAAGTAGGTCTATTATTTTGGAACGGTCTAAAATAAAGCTACGACCTATCTAAAATCTTTTGTTTTTTTTTTTTTTTTTTTTTTTTGGGAAATACTACGACCTATCTAGTATTGGGGGGAACAATAAATGTGAAAAGGAGGTTCAATGAGCTTGAAAATCCAGCTAACATATGAAGACTTATAAAGGAGAAAAGAACAGTAGTACAATACAAAATGGCAGTTTAAGACAAATTTAGAAAACCAATCCTACTATTTAAGGTTTTATAATGAATGTGAAAGACAGGAGTGCATCCATTTTGAAATCATTAGCCATTATAATCACTGTCTAATGACAACTCAATTTGCACTACAATTTTAAATAAAAATCATTAAAAAGAATAGAAGGGGCAAATATAGAACAAGGAAAGAATTAATCATAGATTCCATGTGAAATTGAAGATCCAAAGAATTTTAGTCCTATGAAGAATATCAAGTACTAAAATCACATGGTATTGTTTAGGCACACCAAACATATTAGTTGGTTAAAATATCGCGAAACCTCAAGATCTGTTACCAGAATCCCGTTTAAAGTATTGTCTTTTTTATAACGGATTGATATCTACGAAAATTCCATTAAACAGGCCAAAAGGTTAAATTGATTGTACCAACAAACACATTAAAGTGTGATAATTACAGGCAAATTCTAAGAGTGCAACAATATTTTTGAGTAATATTTGTACATTGTAGGACACACCCAGAATATCATGAACACTCAACATCATGATCATATACACAAAAACTAAATTTGAACAAAAATTACATCCCTCTATCATATAAAAATTAAAAAAAAAATTAACCAAAAAAAAAAATCCTCATATCATACTTCCCACAAACAATTCTTGGTTTAAATTGGGATTTGGGACATAAATACACAACATAACACTAACTAAAACTACATGATACATTGAATTATAGTTTATGCTTTTTTTATACAAGTATCATATAGTATAAACCATAAAAAACCCCCATCAAATTCATAACAATTTTTTTTTTTAAAAAAAAAAAAAAGCCTAAATCTTTTTTTGTTTGAATAAATTTTATTTTATTTATGCTTAGGTTTACCAGATTTTTTCTTATCACTTTTAAGATTCTCATTATTTTTAGCAGGCTTACCAAAAACACTGCAAAATCCACAAGCAGAAAGTCTAGGAGAGGGAGGATCCTCTGCTTGCTCAACCTTAACAGTACGATAGGCTCGCCTATTTCCACCGTCTGATTTACTTCTTCTTAAATCAGGTTTCTGATCATCATTTTGATCGGCCGATATTCCATCTCCACCGTCTGATTTCTCTTTAGCCAGTTCTGCTTGTACCAATTTATCATCCCATACTAAACCAGAGGATCCCTGCCTTCTAAAGCTTATTGCTGACCTTTGTAATCCTTCCATTTTTTTTCTCTCTTTAAAAAAAATACACTTTATCTCTCTCACAACTATGAAATTTTTAGATGATTAAGAGAAAATATTGATATGGGTGTCTAGAGAATTCTTATTGGGGTGGTGGGGTGGAGTTGAAATATGAATTGGAGAAGAAAAAATTTGGATGATCTTTTTATTTATTGGTTTTTTTTGGTATTTAAATGGGTTTTTTTAAAGGGAGGAGAGAGAAAGTCAAATTTTAATGACAATGGAGTGAGATATATAGGGCCAAAATATAATTTATAATATATAATTTGGACAACTAGAGGCAATTACATGAAATACTTACTCCCACTTTTTATGTCTATAATTTGGACAACTTAACAAAGGAAAGTAAGGGAGAAAAAGAGATTATTATTACAATCATTCTTTGTATCATGCTACTCCTGGAGAAACAGAATCTCACTAGAATTAAAAACATTAAGGCAGCAAATTTTGTTTATGAGGTGTCTCATTATCTTTTGCGATTCTCTATACATCAAAAAAGATTTTACAATGTTATATCATAATAGTTGTTATATTGTTACTGCTCCTCGTAATTCAAAAACGATATGATTCTATACATCCTTTATTAAATTACTCTTTTACTACTTCTATTATTTTAAAATTAAAAACAAATCTTATTCATGAAATGTGGAGTATATTGGAATATTATCTTTTGCAATTCTCTATATATTTTAGTAAAAGATCTGTAAAAGTAATGAAATATTTTTGTATCATAATGATTAATGAATGACACATTGTTTTAACTCTTCATAACTTGAGCCATCAACGTGTAAGTTTATAAATAACTACTTGTCATGTCTATCAAATCAATTTTTTTCTTTATTAATTTTTTCCACTTTAAGTGATTTTAAATCAAATTTGGAATCCTTAGTAAAAGGGCATTAGTGGTACAGATCTGCAACTTCAGCTTTTAGGCAGAACTAACCCAAATCGAATTCAGATTAAAGGCTGCCAAAACATATAAAATTAAAAATGTATGAGTAGTTAGTTATATATTTGGGACAGGTGGTCAAACCCTTGGTTCCGTTGGCCTAACCAGATTCGTTGTTGGCAGTTTGACTAGTAAAAAAAAAACTCCTGATTCACATTAATTATTCTTCCTAAATGTTTATTTTTATGCCTGAGTAAAAATTAAAAAGATGCTACAAATTATATGGTTATAAACTTATAATAGCATAGACTATAAATCTAAAGTGTACAAGGAGTACTAATAATTCATCAAATGGGCAAACATATTAAATCTTCCCAAGATCTTACAAGATAACATAAATGGATAATATGGTATGGTAGGCATATATTGGTTGCATAAATTAATTAATGCAATACATCCCATATTTAAGTAGTTTCTTAAACATTGGATGTATTGGATGAATTCAACAATCCTAGGCCCCAAACCTTGATCCTTCCTACACAAAGCAATTATATGAAAGGTCTATCTAGAATCGATAATTGGGCATTTAAATTTCATCATCTTACGCGATTGAGAAAGTGATACTGTTTCGATTGATAGCGTTTTTTTACACGTTTGGTGCACATACTGTCGTCTTTGTTGAGCAGTAACAGTGATGGCAGCTAGTTAAGGGGAGGGAAAGGTGGCTACCAAGGGGGTGTGGTGTAGATTGGAGCAGAGAAGGAAGATAGTTTTTTACAAGGGGTAGGCCATCTATAGGTGAGGCGCAAGGCCAAGTACCTCAGCACCCGTAAGCACTAACAAATACTCCGTAATAAGTAACAGAGATAGTGAAAGAAGAAAAACTAAATCAAGGAAGCCTGCAAATAATCAAAGGAAAACTATACGAGTACAAAACAATAAAGGCATTTATGAATCCACTAATTTTGGTATACTTCTCAGCAGACATACCAAAACTTTCCACCATATCAAAGCCATACAGTAATACAGTACGTTCAATAAATAAACTAAAGTAGCATATTTTCCTGTCCAATTGACCTTAATGTAACCCAAACATGGCCTACCAGTAACCACCGCAATGTATGGCCTTCTTTGAGATTATAACTCAAAATAATACATGATTAAATGCAACGCCTTAAAATAAATAGTACAGTATAAACAATAAGGCATAACAGAATATAACCTTGTTAAAACAATCAACGACCGATTACTTCCTCTATTTCATTAATGTGCTACTAAAAACTCATCATAAGCTTATTTACAGGGTTGTACCTTATAAGCAAACCATACAGCCCCACAATGATTCAATGAGACCGCCAAGCTGGTCAAGTATCTAAGTGGAATAAAAGGAATTCCGAAATCTTAACGTATTGAATAAAGAGGCGGAAAAAAATGCTGCCATTACAGGCAACCACAAACACCCCCAGATCCCCAAAAAATTTAAAAACAAAAAAGGAAGTGCAAGTAATTTGCCAAGACTTGACTAGAATATAGCAAACAAGAAAAAAATAAGAAAAAAAATATCTTGATATTGTAGATTGCAGCCACGCCATCAAAGCAGAACCTTCAAATCAGTAAGCTCACCTGTCATAAACAGAAAAGGTCAAATGCTACTGCTCATGCCATTTTCTTCTTGTCTTTGAGGATTTCGCTCAAAGGTTTGGGACCTTCAAAGTCTGCAGATCCATTTTTGTGTAAATGACCCTCATTTCTGTCTACTTTGACAGCATCATGGTTCTTGGACTCATATACTGTGGACTCTTGAGCATACCTCTCTCTCTTTGAGTATGTCCTTCGTTCGGACAAAGACTGCCGTGACCTCATCCCATTATACTGCCTGTTGCCATTATGTTGTGAATTCCTAGATCTGCCTCGCTGTTCTGCATCAACTGCAGAATTCCTTCTCCTAGACAATCTAACACCAGGTCTTTCCACCTTAGATGCTAGTCGACCATGTACTCGTTGATTTGAAGCATGCCTTTGAAGCTTCTCTTGCCTGCCATCTCTTACATGCCTCAAGTCATGTGTCTCCAGATAACCATCAACCATCCTCTGTTTCCTCAAATAGTCTCGAAGATCCACATCATGGCGGCCACCAACTGGGGTTTCCACACACAAAATATTTCTCTTGCGTGCCACAGTGCGTCTTGCTCCTCTATCCTGTGTGTGTCTAGAGGGGAATTCAAGAAGATCAGTTCTCAGCTCATCATTAATATATTCAGAAGGCTCATAAAGACCATTATCAAAGTACTCTTTTTCATCATACTCAGCCTGATGAGCATAGCCATGAGGCAAAAATAGGTGCTCATTGCCTCCATCATTCCCATCAATGGAGCGCATATCCTCTGGGTCATCCTCATAAACCATATCTTCAGTCTCTCCTTCCACAAGAACATCGAAACCAGGGGATGATTCACACCACTCATCTCGCACAATGTTTCCATCAATTTGATCCTCTGAACTTTGGTCAGATTCCAAGCTAGGCTCAAACTCACTTTTATTTGAGCGTTCTACATGCTGCAAAGTCCCTGTTTTGACAGCAACTGTCCCTTCACGTTCAGGAATATAAGTTTGTTTGGATACAGTACTTAGTTCTGGTATAATAGCAGTATCATAGTGTTGAGGCTGCTGTTTCTGCTCATTCTGCAATCGACTGGCACTCGTTGTTGTCATTTCTGATGGAATTAAATATTTTTCAGCAGGTTTAAGCTCTGATTCAGCTCTTCCAGATGTCTTACTGTCCAAAGGATGCACTGCTGCATCAACTGCAATAGCCATCTTTGTATTCAAACCAAGTGCCCCACCAGGTTCATGCAGAAATGGGCATCGGTCACCTTTGTTGCAAAACCCATTGTAGTAATAATAGCACGGGACTGTCGTCTTTGTAGCAGACACAGAAGACTGATTCAGCAAAGGTGGAGCAGCATCAGTTGGTGCTACATTATGTGATTCCAAGGGCTGTACATCAACTGAAAACAATGAGCCTTGTTTCTTTCATCAGACAAGAAAGTTAAGATCAAAGTAGCACATCTCACTGGCAGAATGTAGCTTAATAATGGTGCAGCAAGTCAGCAACCTTATTATAAGGTAATAAAAATAAAAAGGATCAGATGCATTTAAGGGCCAACACAATAATGGTGCAATAAACTTAGGGAACCAATCAGTAAAACTTCACCTCTAAATCTGCATACAGAATTCCAAGCTAAAGTATCTTGTAATTTGTGTGCTTCAAACTTTTCAACTTTCATGCTTTGAGCTATTCAATTCTTCTATACAATAAAATATGAGTGAAAGTAAAATAAAACTCATAAGCCAGTCAGTGCATGTCCTTCCTGGCACCAGTAGGCACTAGGCAGTAAGTTTTGGGCAGCCAATAAAAAAATTATAAAAAAAAGGTCACGCGCCCTGACCCCCTAGACACAAGCTGTATCCAGCGAGCCACTTCAGCAACAGACGAGCTTAAAAAGAAAAAGGAAATTAAAGAAAATCACAAGAGAGGGGTGATTACCACAAGAGTTCCACATGAAATTATTTACAAGGTTCAATACACACAGGGGCATATAACAAGGGAGCAATGTCAGATACAGCCAAAAAAAGACAATTACGAGAAGAATGAAGCCGTCCAAATATTTTTCTTTTTTCTGCAGAATAAGACAGACAACGATCTGCAGAATAAATTAAACAAGGACTTTCACAGTTTCACTACCCCTCAAGAAACTTCAAGTTGTAGCATTGTCCACAGCTCATTCATTCAAAGTAATATGATAGACTTTTGATCCTCCTTGTGACCAAAATATCTAGTCAAAATGATTCCCACCAATCTAATCAGCTAATCCAGAAGGCATTACAAAGCTTGTTACATATTCTACATATCATCACTCAAACATTCATCATCCAGCTCCTATAAGTCCTACGGTAAGATCAAATAGTTTTGAACAGGAAGGATTCAAGCAAAAGGTAAGAGTTGGGCACTCTTAAGACAACTTATAAATTTGTCAAAAGGGAAAATTAGGTGACTTTTTGTAACAATCTGACACTGTTAAATTTGCCACAACAAACAAAGGGCATAACTCCCATAGTTCCATCCAATATCAGATGGTTTAACAAAACAGTAAAAAATTTATAATTTTCTACTGAAAAATGCCTTCCTTTAAAATGTAGAATCATCTTTTACCTAGTTTGTTACATTAAGGGTTATATGCCACCATTTCTATAGTTCAAACAAAGATCTAGTCATGTATGACTTATTTCATCCCCAGTAAGCAATTTCAAGACTAAAGCAACTTTAAAGAGAAAAACTATCCAAAGCAGGTAGACATAATTTTCTCCTGCTAAAAGCCAGTGCACATCCTTTTAAAGCCAAGAATGGAAAAAAAAAAAATTATCACATGCATTATGACTTATACTATAGTGTATGGTGCCTTACACGTCTATAATGACCGCAACTTCTATATTTGCATTATTCTTAAGAAAAGACTGCCCAAACCTATATGTATCTTTCCTTATCAAAAATTATATAAAAAAAGATTCTTCCTTCACTAAACTGTTTGAGAAGCACAATAAAGCATTTGGACATAACTTGATCCACAAAAAGTCCAATTATACCATAAGTTATATTCTAACAAGGCATACATGTTGAGATGAGTATACTGTATATGCAAATTCCAGATCAATCCCAGCAATCTAGAGTATATATTGAAATTTGCAAGCACCTCTGCCACATATAAAGTACTACTAGTTCAAAAAAAAAAAAGTATATTAACAATTTACTCAGCTCACTATACCATTTGACGTTCATTATAATCACTCAAGACATCAAAAATTCAACAAATGGAAAACAATATTATGCAAAACTCACCGGATGGCGAAATGCACAAGTCGGATTTAGGCAATTTCCAGACATCCAATACCAGCAATCCCGTGGGTTCAACCTCGCCATTTCACTATGCCGATACTCACACTCTACACCCTGTTCGTGTAAATGCATGCAAAACTTTCTCAATCCTCAATAAGTCAAACAGTAAAACAGCAATTTACATCTGACAACAGCCATAAGGCGCATAATCTCTAGCAACGGCAAGCAATCCCTATTCAGTCAAATGAATTTAAACAAAACCCTAATCCTAAAGAACACCGAAAATCTGCAAAATTAAACATTATGAATAACAAAAACTAGCAGTCAGAACAAAATTTAACAATAGAAACAACAATTACATCCACCAACAACAATATTATACCCTAAATTCAACTAATTCGTTTACTGAAACAAAATGTACGATCAAAAGCACAAAAATCTTGATTTTTATGAATCAAAACCGAAACCCTAACCCTACAGAACACAACAAAAATTCAAAAAATTACAGAATAATCAAGTACAAATAAATTTCATGGGAAATTCAAAAATCAAAATCACAGAATCAGAGAAACACAAAGGACAAATAAAATCATAATTTAATGAAAGGAAAATACGGAAATAAGATTTAAAAAATTATGGAAAAATATGAAGAAAAAAAAATGAACCTTCTTGCATGTGAAAGGAGAGGCCAAGAAATAGACACAGTCAGTGTTACGCTTCAACAATTCGTCCTCCATTGTTGCAGATTCAAGCTTTTCTTGATTTTCTCTCTCTTCGATGAAGCTATTTTGGCGTGGCTAGTGAGGAGTGAGAATGGAGAAAGAGACGAATTTCATGGAATTTGATCGAAACAAATCATTCAAAGCATTTGCGCAGAAAAAGAGAGAAATGTGGAGGTTTTTATTGTTTATCAAAATGAAATTTGGGTTTGGGGCTTTGGGCTTTACTAGTACTCCGTAGTAACAAGTTTTAAAAATGACTACAATTAACATTATCAGGTTTACATGTATAGGATTTTATAAAACTTTACAAAGTGAATTGCAATCCGGAAATTCTTGGTGTCAATCTTAGTTTTTCCAATCCAAGCATTGTTACCGCCTTTCGGTCAGGAAAGTTTATGAATACGAGTACTGATTTTGGTGATAAAATGTTTTTTTATTTACGAGCATTAGGTTTTTAAAAATTAATAATGATTTATTTTGAAAATTAAATTGAGTTAATTCTTCGTTCTTGGTTCTAGTTTTATGCTTTGTTTGATAATAACAACCAATTTCAAGATTGTTGTTTAATGTGTTGCTTACATTGTCGAAGACCAAGTTATGTAACAAGGCTTACAATAACAAAAAAAAAAAAAAAAGGGCTTGCACTAGGAGTCTAAATCAGATTGGAAGGATACATGGCAGTGGCGGATGCATGTACAAGGAAGTAGGGTCTTGAATATATAAAAAAAAAATTCCTATAAAATAAAGTTTTTTGTTATAAAATTGAATTTTTCCTCTTAAAATTTACCCACTTGACCCCATTAAAATTTGTAAATGTATTTGACCCCGTTCTGGATCCGCCACCGATATATGGTCTAGTAGGTCCGTCTTGGTAATCTTAGAGGCTCTTATGGTATGGTATATCTTGTGGTTTTACATAGAGGATGTAGATTTGGTGACCTTGCGATGAAATAAGGTTCCATTTGACTTAAGATTGTTGTTTAATGTGTTGCTTACATATAGGTTGTCAGCACTCAGCAAACCTAATGAGTAGTTTCACACACATGAACAACAAAACTCCCACTCTCTAATCCCGACCACCTCAATTATAACTCTTTTTCCTCACCACTTTGTATAAAGTATACATGAATTCCAATTATAAAATCAATCACATACACATGAACAATGAAACTACTAAACTCTCATTTTCCAACCTTGCCACCTTTTCACCAAAAAAAAAAAAAAATACAAATATAACGCAAAGGTAGGAAATCATACTTGGAATTCTAATAACCGAGTCTCTAAGATAAGCAATACTTATACAACACAAAAGTAGTCACCAAGTATCTACCTTTCAGTTTCAAGGCTGAACTTGATAAGCATGTCATCTCCTTCCTTGTCAGAAAGGTTCATCCAAAACCTATCAATAAACTTTGGAATGAATTTATCAAATTGAATACATTGGACCTTGCCTTTATCAGAATAAACCAAGTCGAATTTGAAGATTAAAGAGGACCAACACGGCACAACCAGATGCGTACTTAGAAGAGGAAACTTGTAACAAGAACCCGTCTCATCAACTATCAATGGCATAGGCTTTGTCGCGTTAAATAGCACAATATCAAGACAATCGTCCTCCAAGTCTTGGGTTGCATAAATTTATATCCTTCTAGGTGACTACTTGTGCTGCATACTTACATTACCAACTATTAATTTAATTTATTTCTTTTTATGGTTTTAACCTTTCAATGATTTTAACTTTTCTAATAAACGAATATTGAAATACTATTGTAAAGCTATTATAAAATCGTGTATGACACGGGTTTTGAACTAGTTGAGGTATATAATCATATACTGCATGTCTACATCAACGAGTAAATTGTAAAATGGCCATGAACAAAACCAAAATATTTGGGCATTTTGATTTTGCTACAATAACATACGTGGGCCCCAAAATTTATTTTGCTTCGTATGTGTATGTTTCCTTCACCATCAAAGTTTGTGTATGTTTCCTTCACCATGAAAGAACGACTTCATTCATGTAATTAAAATTGATATTGTAAATGAGCTTACCATTTTTAGATACCGCCAAAGCTTCTACGTAATTTAACGTAAACAAAGAACAAATGTGCTACTGGGGGAGACTAATTGCCCAACTCCAAGGGTGGAGTGCTATGGTAGAACAAGAGTGCTGTAATTCTATGTTTGATAATTGAATCAAATATCCCTAAAATTATCAGCCTACTTTGGTTATTAAATCTAGACCTCTTCTCAATTTTTTTGTGAACTTTATAAAGTAGCAAATTTCTTAAAATTTTGGATTTTAACTACCAAAATCTAATTTGGATGAGACATTAGATTGGATTTGAAGCTATTTTGGCGTTGCTAGTGAGGAGTGAGAATGGGTGAAAGGGATGAATTTCATGGAATTTGATCGAAACAAATAATTCAAGGCATTTGCGCAGAAAAAGAGAGAAATGTGGAGGTTTTTATTGTTTATCAAAATGAAATTTGGGTTTGGGCTTTACTAGTACTATGTAGCCCGTAGTAACAAGTTTTTAAAGTGACTACCATTAACATCAAGTTTTTACGTGTGTACGGACTTTTAAAAAAATTTAAAAGTGAAATGTTAAATATCGTCCTGAAAAGGCTACTCGGAATTATTTGGTGTCAATTCTAGTCTTTCCAATTTGAACATTGTCAAATAGTAGGGATGTTCAAATATCGGTCAGGACCGAAAAAATGACCTGGACTAAATCGGATCGAACTCGGATCAGATTGGACCGAATTGAATTAACCGGTCCGGACTCTGGGTCTAGAAATTTATTTTTTCGTCCGATCCAAAACCCCATAAAAATTGGTCTTTGACCGAACTGATTTTTTACTTTAATTTATGCATAAATTCTTAGATAATGGTTAAGATTATCCTGAACAACCTTAAATTCCCGTTAATATAAGAGATTATATGGTCATGTGAGATCTTGTTGGATTTGTCATTGTATATTTTATTATTATCAGGTTTTTATACTTTTTTACATAACCAATGTAAATTTACATTTCTAATATACTTTTACTACTTATTTATGTTTATTAATTCTCGTAAAAATTGTCCATAAAAGAGACTATCAATAAGAGATGGAGGGAGTGTATGTTTTTTTTTTTTTTTTTTTTAACGAACTTATTATGTTTTTTTTAAAGAATATCAAAAGTCAAACAACTCTATTTTCATATCTCATTTTCTAGTATTAAAAAAAAATTCCAAAAGAATTACCTCATTTATATATTGGACGGATCTGAGCCATTAGGGCGGGTTAGGTTTTTTGATGGGCGTTAATTGTCAATATAAGACGAAAAAAAACGTTCTCCATTGAAGCGCGCACTCAACGTTCTCCATCGAAGCAACTTACGAGGTAATTTGTTGTTTCTTTTTGTAATCATCATGTCAATTTCACAATCTAGGTTTTTTTATTGATTTAATTGTCAGTTTAGTAAGTTTAGGGTTCGACAATTTGAACTATTGATTCTAATTCTAATATAACCCGCGATTATGTTGTTAGAAAAGAAAATTATGACCCTAATTCAATAATTGAATCAATTGTACCTTTCTTCCCTTAAATCATGTGATTTTTGAGGTATAATATAATTGATTAATTGAAACTTTTTTTTTTTGGTGAAGGTGTTTTAATTGAAACTATGAAATCACCTAAATTTGTGTTCTTTTCTGTATTGTTTCTCTTGTGAGTTTTTTTTTATTTTTTTGGGTGGATTATATTGATTGATATGATATTAGTGATAATTCAGCATTATATTGATTGATATGATATTAGTGATAACAGGTTGAGATGGATAATGGTAAGTTTGTAGAAGATGGAGTTGGTTTCTCGGGAGTTGAGAAAAGTCCATTTGGTGATTTGTTTTCGGTGAGAATAAAGCATGATGCAGTTGACAAGTTTGATGTTTATGGTAACATTTTTGTTGAAGATGAAGATGGTACTTTTTGCATCTTCAATCGACAATTTGATGATGCCAGTCTTATAACTGGTTCCTTGCCTCTAGCTTTTAATCGGTCACTCCGTGCTAGATCAATTTTCACTCTCACTTTTGATCTCAAAGATAGAGATGGTAATACAATTGAGGGCAAAGTTGTTGCAAAATTTACTACAGGGAAAAATGGCAATTTTAAAAAGTTGGGTGTTGATCGTATCTTTGGTAGTATGGGTTGTGCAACCATATATTACACTTTTAACCAAGCAGCAGGTTTTTATGCTATAAAGGATGCTATTCTAATGAAACATTCTGCTAACTCTGAAGATGACAGTTGGGTTCGCGGAACCATTGTTTTTCAGTATGGAAGGCCGTTTGATTCTCGGACTCGTTCTCTTGCAACCCAAGACTTAGAGGACGATTGTCTTGATATTGTGCTATTTAACGCGACAAACCCTGTGCCATTGATATTGGATCATACGGGTTCTTGTTACAACATTCCTCTTCTAAGATCGCATCTGGTTGTACCGTATGGTTACTCCTCAATCATGAAATTCGACTTGGTTTATTCTGATAAGGGCAAGGTCGAACTTATTCGATTCAATAAAGACATTCCAAAGTATCCATTAGGTTTTGAGATGATCGTTTCTGACAAGGAAGGGGATGACATGCTTGTCAAATTGATGCTTAAATTACTAATCAGAAGAAGTTAGAGACACGGTTCTTAGAATTAACTCCCTACCTTTGTGTTATGTTTGTATTGGTTGTCACTTGGTAATTGGGATTGAGATTGGGATGGTTTAATTCCCATGTTTTAAGTACTTTGTACTATTATTATAACTTTGATATTAATTATTCTAAATTAATTCCCATTATAAGGGATTATCTTTTATTGAATTCTCAATCACAAATTCCTAATTCGATTTTCACCCTCTAATCCCTAAACTGTCATTATCATCATTTAATTAAAATATTGATTAATAAGTCTTGTGTACAACGGATGTACATTAATTTTATTGTAAAATGGTCGGTTTGAGCGTAACTTTAACTATTTTTATAGTAACTTTAACCATTTAAAGGGTAACTTTTAATTTGTCGCTATTTTAATGTGTAATTTCTTATAGATACGTACTTTTAACACAACTTTAACCCGTTTTACAATAAATTAATGTACATCTGCATTTTTGAAGAATTTGTGAATATTGATATGGATGTCTCATTTTTTTTTTTATTTACACTCGTGCTTCTATAAAGAGAAGAGCGTTATATCTCTGAAAGGTTCTTTTACGAGGAAGCATTTGTTTTGCGACAAGATTTTTGCCAACGAGTACGCAATACTCCCATATGAAAGTACACACAAGCCAACCACTACAAATTCATACACAACAGGCCTAAGTCATCTCCATAACATCCAATATTGCTGATGGTATTTTAGCTTTCGGATTGACAACCACTGGCTCGAAATCAATGTCTTTTTCATGGAGGTAACTCGATGCCAATAATGAATCAACTGGCTTAACATCATACTTTCGCCTCCTACACGTTTACACAACCCTTTAACTTCCTTCCATTAAAAGAAGATAAGGTTGATATACGGATACGATCCCACATTTTCGTTCTTTGTACGTTATTAGGGGAGTTAATAAGATTCAATCCCATGAGAATAGCAATGATTGAGATAGAAGGAAAATAAGTACATTGTTTATGTCTTAATTCCTTTTACAGTGTGTCATTGTACAAAGGCACCGATTTGAATTAGTGCCTTTGCAACTATTAGGTACCGGTTTCAGAACCGGTGTCGTGTCGTTAATGACTTAACTTTTTTCAGCTAAAGTTGTTTATATATATATATCCTTAAATATTTTTTTATTCATTATATAGCCAGTGATTTCACAATTTTCATCCATAAATAAAATGAAAAGAACACAATTAGAGTACATCAGGAGCATAAGAAAGAAGGATGAACAACCATTATAACCAGGAGCAGCAAGCATACTAGCAGTAGCAATGAACCATGATGTGGCTTTAACAACAAATAGTTATAAACCATTACATTGCAAAAAACTACCAACGGTACCTAACAGCTTACTGTTAAATATATACATCAAAAGCATAACTAGATGTAGTATATTAAATGAAATCTTAATAGACTGGTAAAATCATAATGAAAAAGGGTGAGAGGTCTAGAAAACAAGTACTTAATATAGATTCACCGTCATAAATTTATAATACAACACAACCAATACTTATATCACAAACAGGAACAATAAACTGAGCATCAAAGTGCTTATTTTTAAAATTAACAAACACAAACGTAATTAGATAGCTTAAGTTAAAACAGGATGAACCACATCTTCAAAATACAATTTTGGTACTGTGAAGACAGACACAACGTACCCTCTCCTGACTCGTGCTGCTCTACACCAAGTATCTCTTGTTACCAATAATTTGAAACTCCGACGGCTTCATCGTCTTCCAATCTATTTGAGGAGGCGAAATATCATAGGTTGCTGAAACCTCAATCCCATCATATTTCCTGACGACTGAACCACATTCTTCTACTGGTAGCTCAAGAGTACCTCTAAACACTACATGCTCAGTCAACGCATCTGTCAAATATACATCCAGACAAAGGTTGCTATCCAATGGCACAGCCACCTTATCTCTTGACAGTGAAAAACAATCCCCCTCCACCAACTTCTTAGGCTTTTCTTGTGACGCGTAGAACAGAGTTGATCTATAAAACACTTTATCATACTCACAATCAGAAGCAAATTTGCTGCTGTAAGCGCGTATATGACCATAAATTGCACAATCACCATAGCCACGTAGTCCTTCCACAAGACGAACTTTCACAGCAGCTTGTACCGCATCAGTATAGAAGATGGAATGCACCATAGCATGCCCATCTTCACCTCCAACAAAAGTGGAAGTAAGTTTATCGCAAGTCATCTCATGAGCTGAACCCGAGTAAGTAACAACCCCACGACATAAGTTAACATTATGACTCTTGTCCTTGAGGTTAAGGAATAAACTCCAAGTAAAGTTATCGGACCTTACACAATTTGGCGGACCAACCAAATGTAGTTGTTGGGTTTCATTAGGAAACATTATAGAGTTTTCATTATCTGAAGGTTTGAACATATCAATACCACCATCAACAGAATCTGTGTAATCTAATAACCTCACAAAACCTTCAAGTTCAACACTTTCTATATCATCAGTGTAGTAAGGTTCTATTGATATCGAAAATACTTCAACCATATCACCTGGCAAGTCCTCTATCCCTGGATACACTTTCGATTTTGATGAATACATTGCTGAATAAATTCACCAAACAAACTCAAATCAATGGTGAGACAATACAAATTAATTAAAATATATTACTTCACAAGGAATTTATTTGGATTTTACAAGTTAAATCAATTCCAAACTAAATACCAAACACCCAATCCAATCTAATGTCTCATCCAGAATAGATTTTGGTAGTTAAAATCCAAATTGTTAAAAAAAATTACTAGTTTAAAAAATTTACAAACAAATTGAGAAAAGGTCTAATTTCAATTATCAAAATAGGCTGATAATTTTAGGGATATTTGATTCAATTATCAAATTAGGCTCATAATTTTAGGGGTATTTGATTCAATTCAAATCAAAGTAGGATGATAATTTTAGGGATATTTGATTCAATTATCAAATTAGGCTCATAATTTCAGGGAAATTTGATTCAATTATCAAACAAGGCTCGTAATTTAGAGATATTTGATTCAATTATCAAATAAGGGTCATAATTTTCTTTACATAATCTCAGCATTTAGAACCAAAAGTTGAGATTTTCGAACCCTAACCTTACTGCACGAAATGAAATCAAACACTAGAATGTGAAATTAATATGATGATAACAAAAAGAAACAACAACTTACCTTAGAAGACGCTGAGAACAAATAGTTTATAATGTAATGGAGAACGGAGAACTCAGAGAGAGAGGAGAAGCAAGAGGAGGAGGCAAGGCAGGGATATGTTCATTAATGCTTTTTTCTTCTTATTAATACTGACAGAGCAATTCAATGGGTTGGAGCCCCATTAAAAAAAGCCCTAACCCACCCTAGTTATATATGGGTCAGATCGGTCAAATACATAAATATGGCGGGTCTTTACGATCGTCTAAATATAGCTCCATAAAGTCACTCCAACAATAAGTTATTTATCTAGAGTATTTAGTATAGAGCAAGCCACAGTTTATAACTTAAATAAACAAAAAAATGTTTATCAAATGGCATTTTAGTAAATAAGTTGTATTGAAATTTGTGTTTTTTAATTAAAAAAAATATTTTTATTGTTTGTGGGTCATTGTCACAAGTTGGACATAACTTTTAGAGTTAACAACGTTAAATTCTCTGTTCATGTTTTTTCTATAATAGGTCACCGTGTTTTTAGCAAAAATCAAACCTTAAATCACACTAAGTTTCTTCCCTCCCACCTTATCGTGTTTTTAGCAAGTGGTCAAGTGGAGCCATTAAATGCACCTACCTATAATAGATCACCGTATTTTTACTGCAAAAATCAAACCAGAAATTACATTTTTTTTTTCAATTCCCACCCACCTCCAATCTCTACTCTACTAGCACCACCATTTCCGCCGGCTTTACCGGCAAAATTAAACGAAAACACTAATAAAAGGAGAAATTAATGGCATGGTTAACCCTAAAGGGTAGCTGAGTTTTCCTTCCTCCACTGATTCCGAAATGTTCAATGTCGTAGTGAAAATGTGTATTTTTCACCAATGAAATTGAAGGTTGAAGGAAGAGAGATGAAACAACAAAGGTTAAAAGAGGAGAGAGAAAATCAGAAAAGCAAAAGGTTGAAGGCGGAGAGTCTAGTAGTTTTAACAATATAACCATACATAAGAATTGTCTCAAATTTTACCGCCAATTAAATTTTCATTTACAAAAGATGAAAATTATAATTTTTTTTTTTGCCAAATTAATAGCCAAAAAATTACCAAATGTATAAATGGTGTCAAGGTAATTTACAAAATTACAAGTTTTGAATAAAGAAAATTCAGTTCTTTTACTACTTAATTAATAAATTAAACATGTCGGGTTCGGGTTGATGGGGTTGTCGTTCAACCCATTTATATAATCAGGTTATACGTGTTGGTTTCGGGTTGAAAATTTCAACCCAAACCTAACCCGTTTAATTTCGTGTCTTGTTCGTGTCGACCCAATTATGTAAATGGGTCGTGAATTCTTGACCCAAACCCGCTTATTTCATGTCGGATCAGGTTTTGACAATCCTACATTTAATCAAAAAAATTATTGACATTTACAATGTACTGATGTACATTATCATATCCACACAAAAATCACAGAACATGGACGCAACACGTCAACATTGCATCCCTAACTTTGGCCTCCTCAGCTCACCAATTTGGCGATTTCATCGATCATCACCACCACCAACATTCTCCTCCTCCCTAAAAACCACCGCAAATGAACCAGAGCACCACCACCAATGCCCCTACTTCTCTCCTCCACACCAACCACCGCTTCTCTCTTCCTTAAACTCACCTTTCCACTCGCTTTCCTCCGCTTTTCAACCATGTCTTCCATCAATCTTCAATCCCACGCATTCGCCGGCAACCCCATTAAGGCCAAAATCCCCAAATCAAACGACCCTTTTTCCCCTAATTCAGCTCTCGAAGCTCTTAAATCTCACCTTTTAGGGAATACCCATGACGCCATTGCCCTTAATTTTAAGGTACTGCCCTTCAGAAAAGGGCGCCCTTTGGCGGGTTCTCAGGGTTCCTCCCCAAATTGGCATCTGGGTTGGCTTAGTTTGGGTGATTGTAAGGGTTTATTGGCTGATTCTTCGGTTAAATTTGAGGGAGATTCGTTGGTTTATCTGGGTTCGAAATCAGAGGAAGATTCTGTTTATTGGGCAATTGATGTTTCTGAGGATGATAAATTGGTGGATGAATTGGGGAAGAAGTATTTCTCTTTTGTTGAGCTTAGGACTTTAATGGTGGCTACTGATTGGTCTGATTCTCGTGCTATGGCTGATTTAGCTGTTGCTGGTCATGTATGTATTGATGTATTCTCTTTCTGCTTATATTACATTGATTATGCTTTCTTTGATGTTTCTGCTAGTTTAGTAAGATTATATTTGATTGTGCTTTTGTGTTTCAAATTGATTGCCATCATTTATAGCTAGGTGACACTTTGAAATGATACTTGATACCTATAATAGTGACAACTAATTGGTTCGTCCCACCATGATCCTCTCGTGAGCTGTTTTATATGGGAATGATAATCGTCTTATCTCGTTGTGATCTAATTGAGAGTTGTGATGTAGATTGCTGAGAGGGTTTATCTAGAATGTGGTGCAAAATTGTGTTGGTATTAAGTTTTGTTAGTTGCTGTAAGTGTGAGGGTGTTATATATTATAGGGAATGATTGAATAGAGGTGAAAAGTAGTTAGAATTTCGAAGATCAGTATTTGTAGGTTCTGATAGCTTTGGCAAGAACAAAATAGTTTCTTCAGGTAATAGAATTAGCACATGGATTGGTAATGTGGTTGTAGCTGTTTAATTTTGACTCAATTATGAATGTGCAAAGATGGATTCTTTAATGAGGTTGAAGATCTAGTCTTGGTGGTAGACTGGTAGATGTAGTTGAGCTTGAGCGTCTTCTTATTATCGGAGATGGAAGAAATAAGTTTGATATGTGCCAGGAATGTTAATGATTGTTTAAGTAGAGGGGCTTAAAAATGTGATATTTTATTTATGCGGGTACCTTAGGTGGGTTGGTTAACATGATTGTGGTGAATGGGACACATGAATGACAGATAAACATGAATGAAGCATTTGTATTGTTGATTATGAATCTTGAAGCTAGAGATGTATCTTGTTTTCTATCAAATGATATCTCATTTTGGGAAGTATTAATTTCACTAGTATTATATGGGTAGATGTAATAATGTAATATGTATGTAGGGTAAAACTGTTAGCTATTCAGCTCTTTAACTTTCACAATATGAACAAGAAGATGTATTTATGTAGACCTACGAGTAAATAAAAATGCAAGGCTATCTTCCTCAACTCTGTTTACTATGGGGTTGGGAACTTGGGATTGAATCTGTTATTTCCATAATCGAGGCTGTTACTGAAATATGTAACAAATTGACTAGGAAAGAAATCACAATCATGTCTGATAGGAAAACAAATCACTCTCAATCTACGGACAAATGAATTAACCATCTATCAATCAACTGCTAATAGCAGTCGTTATGGTAATCACAATGACTTAAAGATCTGAGGATTAGACAAACTTTTGTGCAAGTCGATATTTTAATGATGGAATTTGTCACTAGAGCATTCCAATTTCAACTTGGCTGTTGTCTCACATGCCCTCAACGATAAGAAACAGTCTCAATAATTCATACTAGAACAATTTACATCTTAGTTGAGTTATTTCTGCCGTTCACTGAACTGTCACATACCAATAGAACTATGGACCCACTACTTCTGATGTCTCTATTCTAGGCATCTATCAAAGCATTACCAGAAATTTTGATTGGGTATATACCAGTTACCAATTTCCCTAGAAAAGTAGATAGTAACATGATGTCTAGAGAATTTTTTGTGTGCTAGGGAGAGATGATACCGTGGTTGTAACGACTGTACTGTTACAAACACTACTCTTTGCTTAGCACTTGCCCAAGTTATAACCGATGTATGTTTTATACATGACGGGGGTGTTTACAGACCGTAGGGACTTAATAGGAGGCATTTTCGAGGATAAATAGAACAGCAATTTTTGATTATTTGTTACTCATTACAGAGTAATTGATATAAATTTTTTCTCATTACATCTATTCATTGGAGTTTGTCCTTGTTCACTAGTAAGGTTTCCCATCGGAGTTCATGTGGTCCAACCGTCCAAGTAGCAATGAAAGAGTAAAACTATGTACATCCGTGTCGCGGTGTGAGTGTATGTGCAATTTTCTTTCTTATGCTTCTCTTTTACTGCAGGGTTACTGCTTGATCTTTTAAGCCATGCCTTGCAGAGTTGCGGTATATTGTAACATAGATGCTCTTCTGACTATTTACGATAAATAAAATATCTACTGGTCTAATCTGTCTCGTTGATTGTTTGATACATAAAACCAAGCATTGAAGTTTGTAGGCCCTTGATAGTACAAAGAGGCAATAATTCAGATTCCTATACAACCTTACAATGTCAATAAAACCCCCCAAAACTTTGGGAGAGTACAAACCTGCCTTCAGTGTCTTCATTCTTTATGTTATTTCATGAATCTGTAATTACTCCTATTTTCAAATCTTGCCTTTTATTTTTATATATATATATTTTTCGGTGTTTTTAGTCTGTAGGAGAAAGAGTTCTGTTTTTTATTTGGCTGCAGACAAAAATCATTGATATTATAGTTTATGTACTCTGTATTAAGTATACCTGATGCTCAACTGGGACTTAGAGTAGGCATGGGATTGTCATTTGCTCCCCCGAATTATCCCTTGAATGTAATCCATGACGTAAATAAACGTACAAACAAGCCCTGCATGATAAAATCACTTCCTTCTTCATCTTCGGTTTCCTTGCAGCCCTCTTCTCTTCCTATAAAAACTGATCAAATCAAGAAAAATACATCAGAGCCTCAGAAATTTAACAGTTCCTCGAGTGCTTCTCCCTGTTACAGCCAAGAGAACACTGTTGGAATCATTGGAAGTGTGTCGGTTCTTACTACATTGATCTTCCTTGAGAAGTTTGTGCTATGGAGCTCAAGAGATAAACACGAAACTGTCCCTTTCATTGTCTGCAGTGATCCAACATCTCCTTCGAGCTGTGAGTACATTTCTGACAACAATGGTGGTAGCATCCCTTCAGGATTAGACCATGTTAGGATGGTTGAGAATTTGAGAGGTAAAAGATTGTTCCTTGAAGAAGGGGGAGCACGATGCATTGTCATGCCTTGCCATCTTTCACATGCTTGGTATGGTGAAATATCACAAGGGAGTAAGCAGCCTTTTCTTCATATGGCTGAGTGTGTTGCTTGGGAACTTAAGGAAGCTAAATTTAGGCCTCTGGAAGCTGGTAGCGGTGTCAAAGTTGGAGTTATAGCAACTGATGCTACCCTAATGGCAGGATTCTACCAGGAAAAACTACAGGACCAGGTACATATATATAAATTTTTGGTATATCATCGTATTAATTTTATTTTGCGACAAAATCTTTATGTTTCTGCTGTAGATTTTCTCTCAAGTCAGATTTTGTAGTGCAGTTTTATTCTTCTGTGTCCTGCAACAGAACTTAGCCTCTTTTGTCATCATCAGGCTTGTGCAAAAGATGGGAAACAAAAATACTTGTCCATCTTAGACCAATTAAGTTGAAAGAGATATGTAGCTTAATACATCAGATTAGATCAAAGGTTTTAGCAAGTTGTCTGCGACTTCATGCAGAAAGTTGTCACAAAGTAGCAAGACATTTACCTACTTGTGGTTTGTTTCCATAAGTCAGGTGCAACTCTATGCTTTCTTGTGGTTTGTAGTGATTTTTCACACTTTCTCATGGGTTATTTTTTCACAAAAATTTCAAGTTTCCTTTGATCAGCATTCCTGATGGATCAAATTTTGACCAGTCAGAGTTAGCTATGTGCATCCACCCTTAGATTTTCTCCATTGACAGAAGCGTTGTGCTTTTGATTGATGCTCTGAGTTTGGCATGAGTACGATCTATTCATTGTGCTAAACACAAAAATGAACCGTCTTCACGTCTTGATAGTTCTGATTCTTGACCCTATTACAGCCTGTCAGCCTACAATGTTGCTATTGACTTCTGAAATCTGACAATTGATACAGGGTTTTGAGGTGGTGTTGCCAGATAAATCAACCATGGAGCATGCCATATACCCGGCTATAAACTCCTTGAAGCGGAAAGACATGGAGGGAGCACTTAACCTGTTAAGAATCGCGATCCAGCTCCTTCTGGTTAAATCTGTTAATATTGTGATCCTTGCCTCCCATGAACTGCAGTGTTTGTTACCACATGACGATCCCCTTGCTAAGAAATGCATTGATCCTATGGATGCTTTGGCAAGATCAGCTGTAAGATGGGCAAAATCTGCAAAAGATACACGAGGAATTTAGATGATACGTAGTTCTTGGTTTGTAATGGTAATTAATCCTGTACATTAGTATACAGGTTCAACCAACTACTGTGGGATTTCCCTTGGTTCACTTGATGATGTTGCCTTACATTTGGACACAAGAAAGTACCCTCCACAAAGTTTAGAAGTTTAATTTTAAGTTATGTTTTTATGTTGAGCTATATATGCTTCTGCTATTATTGAAGGTGAAGATTTTCTTATCCTTTTTATCCTCTCAAAGGCATGATATATAATTGTAGACTATGTTTGTAAGGGGCCTTAAAGTGGTTGCTTATTAACATTCAATATTCCAATCCTGTTGCACTTATAAATCAAATTTCTAACTGAATTTGAATATACTTTTTTGAATTCAATAAATAATTTTCATGTATTGCACTTTAGCATCGTTTTTTAGTTGACTTATAAACACAAATTTAATCGTGACTGTTCCTCTATATCTTCCATTGCTTTTCTAGCTCTATGCCTCTCCCCGCTTAAGACAATTTTTTGGATTAAGTAGAATAAGAGAAGTTGCAAGTTGGTGTGTGTAAGAACTAAATGCAATGTGCTTTCCCAATAATGACCTTAATTTATTACTACATAATTTTCCATTGAGCCATCTATATGTTACAAAATCACAAGGAATGAATTCATTCATAGAACAATTCTTGATGTGCATTCAAAACATAGGCTCTCCATTTTCATTTTCGTAGTCAACCTAAAATAACCAATGTTTGTAGCTATGCAAGTCAGTCTTCGTGGCAAATTGCTAGTTACCTAGAGGCCTTTTGTTCTCCACCATGGGCCCATGGCTTCTGCCTTGCTATAGCCGACATTTCGACTGTTTTTAACTTTGTCCTTGGTAAATTGAAACCCATGTGAATTGAACGATATCTTAACATAATCGAAATTGTCCACAAAATGTTTCAATGTATTTTATCATTGGAAAATTCACCATAATTTTCGAGGAATTCCACGCAACACTCTCACTCTTCTTATCGTTCCTTGAAGATTTTGGTGAATTTTCCAATGTTAAAAAACATTGAAAGATTTTTTATCGTTTCTTAAGCAAATGGTATGAAATAACAGAAAAGTTTGTATGACTTGTATCAATAAATTCTTATTGTATTGGGAAGTCTTCAACTCTTCATCAATGGAGCCTGTAACTGCGGAGATAAGTTGCAAAGTGAATGACAAACACTAATTTTAGTCTCCAAATTGAGGGAGTTAAAGAACAGGGGTTTTATGTGAGTGATTTGGAGGGAAAATAGGTACATTTAGGATAATAAAAGGTCATGTGACAAGCCCACTATGATCAATGTCGGAAATTAAAGGGTCAACGCCGAAAAGTAGGTTTAGGTTGTCTTTGACAATTTTTTTTTGTAATTAGGTAAATTTTTATAAGGTTGTTTCTAACAAAGTGATTCTCTAAGTTATTTTTAACAATTTTTCCTTAAAAAAAAAAAAAAAAAACACCTCCACACCTTCCACGCAACACTCTCACTCTCTTTATTAGACCATCTCCACTGGTGAGACTCAACTTTGAGTATTAAAATACAAAATGAGTTATTTTGTTATCTCCAATGGTGATACCTAACCCACTTCTCAATTTAGCAACTCATATAAAGTATAATTACCAATGATGATACCTAACCCACTTCTCAATTACCTAACTTTCATTTATAATTGCTAAGTTTAGATAACTTGTTAATATCTTTGCAAAAAATACTCCCTTTCCCCTAAAAAATACTCCCTCAAGAGATGGTCAGTAGATTCTTTTCTTCTTCCTTCTCGATTTTTGTCGTCTTTAGCTCTTAAACCCTTGTCTTTCTCTTTTCTGTGAATTTGTGATCTGAAAAAAATGACATTGTTCTTTAGAAGATTAGCAAAAGCAGCTCCAGTTGCATTTTCCAATGCATTTAAGGGCTTTCAAAACTCCACTCCTTATACCACTCGTACCCCTTTTGGAGTGATTGCCGCTTCAATTACTGGAGGAATCTCACTTTATTACCTCACTTCTTCCCCAAATTTGGTAAATTTATGGCTTAATTATATACGGGATTTCCATCAATTGCTCATTTTATAATACAATGCCCTTTAATTTTGTTGATTGTTTGGTATTTTACTGTGTTTTTGTTTAATTGACTGAGGGGGGTTTTTTAATCCCTGTTATTTGGTTTTGAATGTCGAAATGAATTAATGGGTCAATATATATTTTTGGTATGTATGCAGCTCAGTAAATTGGTTATTGGTATCATTGTTGTTTGCAATTGCAGCTTCTTTGAATGTGATATTGTCGATTAGCAGGATTTTTAATTTTTTTGTTTCCTGTGATAATGGTATGAATGTATGATATGTTGATATGGTTTTATAGATTAGTAGTCATTGATACTTAATTGATTAGTGATGATGGAACTGTTATCTATGGTGTGTTAGGTTCCAATTTGGATTTTGGATGATTAGTGGGAAGCATCTGGGTGTATTTTGTTGATGGATGTCGAAATGGTTGTGGCTCGATAATTTTGGATTAATTCGAGGAGTGAATCTTATGAGTAGTAAATTGTCAGATACTGAATTTCGAGTATCAATGCTTATGTTTTCGTCTAACCCCTTTGGTTGGGACTGTAATTGGATGATTCTTCACGACCAATTTTGCTAGGCTTTCATTTCTTTGGTTGTATTCGGGGCTTTTGATGTGAAGCTTTTTGTTAATTATGTCAAATTCTATGATGTGTATGATCGAATATGTTACTTCTTTCATTTTGCACATCCAATATGCTAGTTTTGAGAAACCAAATATAAATAAGATTTTACCTTTTTTTTTTTATGTTTTGCGGCCAAGTCACAAATTGGTTTTTACGGTTCTACCATTATGTCTTTGCAGGCTCATCTAGATTCAATCAATGAAGAAACGCAGAAGAAAGTTGGTAAGTTTTCTTTTTACCATTGCTTAAGTGGTGTTATTCTTGGCCTATGCTACTCTATGGATTGATTTGCTCTTCATGTCTAATGCTTGATTGTTTACGGTTAGAGAATGTATACAAATTACTCAACAAGTTTTTATATACTCAGCTTAATAACTTAGATTCTATATATACATTTGGTGCCTTACTTTGGTATTTCCTTCCACCTCTCTTTTCTATATTCACTGTTTTCATGTAAGATTTTAACCTGCCAAGTTCAAATCTGCCCCACTTCCTACCCCTTTTCTGACAAAAAGAGGACGATCAGGATGTGGAAAGGATTTTTTTTTTGTTGATTCTGCACCAACCTTAATTGATAATTCATTTTATTTTTACAATGATTGTTCTCCACTTCTCCTAGCTCTATCTATCTCTTGACTGAAAAACTTGTGTAAATTCCAGCACTGAATCCAGATAAGTGGCTTGAGTTCAAACTGCAGGAAACTGCAACTGTCAGCCATAATACTAAGCTCTACAGGTTATACTCCTGTTTAATGCTTGTTGAAGTTTCTTTTGCTTTGATTTATAAAAGTGTTAAAAACTTTCTTGTAATGAGCCTGCTATATAATTTTCTTCTGAATCTTTCAAACATGTGACTTGACATATAAATGGTGTTGAGAATTGTGAATCTTATTAGTTTCAATTAACATTAGAGGAACATTCATATGGCCTTTTGATATCTGATACAGTTGTAAAGTCATATAATTGATGTTCTGAAACTGTAGGTTCTCATTCGATTCTGAAGCCGTGTTAGGTCTTCACATTGCTTCTTGCCTCCTCACAAGGTACATTTTTCAATTCCAAAGTGTACGATCTACTCAATGACCTGTAGTGCCTCCAGGTTGTATCATTTTAGAATGAGTTTTTTCTTGCCTTGTGAGGCCTTTTAATTCTTTGCAAGCATGTTCTGAACAATCATGCTTCTTTGTGTAGAGCTCCTACAGGGCAAAATGATGAAGGGAAAACGAAATATGTCGTTCGACCGTAAGTGTCTTCTTGAGCAATACATGATTATTTATAATTTCTTTAGGTCTAATAGGAATATATCGTCTAGTATGAAATAGATGGATCATAATTCAGAAACTGCTTTATTAATTTGTCTTGCTATACATCCAACTACATCTTGCACTTACATTCTGTATAGCCATTGACATGTACTTGAACATTTAAACTTAATTAGTCTCTCTTTATAAATATATGTATCCTGCCTTAAAAATATTGGATTTGTAAAACTTAATTTTTATTAACACCAGTAGTTTTCTTTCTTTGTCTCAGCAATGATTCAAAGGATAATAATATACCAACACTTCTATTGTAAATCTTCATATGCTTGTTTGGGTCATAAACACCATTTTCATGCAGGTTGAGCATCCTAAATCTAAGATTAAATCATACGCATAATTAGGATTGCTATCTTCTCTACTGTAATCTTGTTTTGAAAGTTTTCTCTTACAGTCTTACTGGAGCAAATTTTACAAATTGAGCTGTGGAAGCCTTTTTCCATTATGAGTGTTCTTGAAAGTTGGTGTCTTTAGTTTTTAGTAGTGAACAGAGGGTGGAAGGAGCCAAGGAGGTTTCATCTACAACTCTGGTACTACTATATTCAATCGCAGCATGCCAGCACATTTTTCACATTGTTTCACTACTGTACCATTATAGACCTTCTTTGCAAGAAGCTCTGGAAAGTTTTGCCTGTCATGGATTCTTTATGATCCCATATGTGGTAGTGTTACATGCAGAACTTGGCTCTGACTTTCTTTTCCACTGAGGGAATTCCTCTGTTGGTTACATGTTTAATAGTGTAATTGTTTGGTAGCATCACCTGGAAGTTGGAGATATCCTGTGCTTCTGTCTTTTCAAGTTTACATTTTGGAATTTGGTTTTAGTACATGAAAGCTAGATCTGAATTCCTGTCCATGATAAGTCTACTTCTTCTATGTTAGAGGTTTTTTTTTAACATGGTTATTAAACCAATTTTCAGTAGATACATGTCTTTTGATGGAATGCCGTATCTCTCCATCTTACATGTAGAATGTCAAATGGATGGTTTTTATTTTTTTTGTTGGGGGTCTACGGCTTTGTATTCCTGATTTATATGCAAATTGCTTTCAGGTACACTCCCATTTCTGATCCCGATTCCAAAGGGTACTTTGATTTGATGATCAAGGTCCGTCAACTTTTATTGTAGACTTATTTCCACATTTCATTTTTTTAGTTGTTAGCTAACCACTCTGTTCAAAAACAGATATATCCAGAAGGTAAGATGAGCCAGCATTTTGCAAAACTCAAACCTGGTGATGTTGTAGAAGTCAAAGGGTAAGCTCCTCCGCCTTTTTTTTTAGTGCTGGTTAGGATTTTAGTGCAGTTATTGATCAAGTTGCTTATTTGAATTCTTGTGCAGACCCATTGAGAAGCTCAGGTATACTTGCAACATGAAGAAACACATCGGCATGGTAAGAAACACATCGGCTTGGAATGTGATATCCTTTTTGAGAATTTGTTAGATCTGACATAGGGTTTCAAATGAGAAAATATTACTTGTAGTTAACTTTGGCTTTATCCTCTCTACTTGAAAACTCCTCATTATTTATAGTTGTGACATGAACTTATTAGTTCCTATTTTTCTTTGAATTATTCTTATGAGATGAAAAGTTCAAGGCCTCTATCATACCTTTTAATTCGCATACTGAACTTATTAATAGGGTGAGCAGGCCAGGCCAAGTCTGAAAGGGTAGTGAATGAGATCTTTATAGTTTTTCCGTCCTTTTCATCTCCTTAATAAAAAGTGACAATGGCTCCTGAATCATGATTGCTATTTGCTTGTGAATGCTATTTCCAATGTGTGATAATTTATATATAAGACAATAAGAGTTAAAAATAAATAGTTAAGCCAGAAAAGAACCCAGTAGGCAGATTCTTGCATGATTTAAATTTAACTGAAGTATGAATGTTAAAAATTGTTAAATTTAACTGAAGTATGTGCCTATGGCATCGTCTGAATGTTGAACTATTGGAAACTCGATTTGTATATAACTGATGATTTGCCCGAGTACTAACTCTTAAAAGTTTGGGAGGTGGTCCTGGTTGTGAAGATAGCCTTATTATCTACATATTCAGTCTGTACTATCGTGACACCAATCGAGACCGGGGTTTTCACCAGCGTTGGTGGGTCCTGGTTGTTGTGAACTCTCCAATATTGAGCCTCTGGTCCTTCTTGCCTTCAAGGCTTCAATATATATTACTTATATTAGATGTCTTAAACGAATTGGTCATTGCAGGAAGGGGGGGCTTATATATTTATGCATGATCATGTGTTTGGTCAGTGTCATTGTTTCCTTTGAAAATTCTACTCCCTCAATCCCATATTTTTTGCCCATTTGACTTTTAACGGTCTCTAAGACGCGTGTTCAAACGTATATATCTCCATTTTTATACGCGTAAAAGTTATAAAAGCTATAAAATATACAATAAAACATTTCTAACAAAATCTCACATGAACATATTATCACTTATAGATTTACGAGTATTCACACTCAAAGTTCTAAAAATTTGACCCATATATTTACAGTGGGGCAAAAAATAAGGGACGGAGGGAGTATCTAATTACTTATACCACCCGGCGATAGAGGACTCAGGAGTTTGCCTTTTATGTAAATGTTGTAAACTATTCTCTTTGCTTAAAAGTATTCTATGGGTTGATGTTTCGTGTACACTCAATTGGCAACAGATTGCTGGTGGGACAGGTGTCACTCCAATGCTTCAAGTAGCTGAGGCTATTCTGAAGAATCCAGATGATAAAACTCAGGTTAGCTACCCTTTTTCTTTGGTACCATGTATAAAATCTGTTTCAGCATTTCTTTGTATGGGGCTTTACTTGAAAAAAGGGCTAATTATTTTATAATATTGTAAAAAAAATAAAAAAAAAATAAATCAATGAAGTATTATGAATCTGGTTTTCATAGTTATTAGCTATCAATTGATCTTACAGGTATCACTGGTCTATGCAAATGTCTCTCCTGATGATATTTTACTGAAGCAAAAGCTTGACATACTTGCCACTAGCCACCCTAATTTTAAGGTACTGTTGTTTGATTACTGACCAAATTCTGTCGTCAAATATGACAAATTGGGATGCTGAAGGTTTCAATGAAATTATATAGGTATTCTACACTGTTGACAATCCATCAAAGGACTGGAGAGGCGGGGTAGGCTATGTCTCAAAGGATGTTGTCACAAAAGGCTTACCTGGTCCTGGGGACGATACTCTCATTATGGTAAGATAAACATAGCTCTTTCAGCTATTAGTCAATGGTTTGTGAATTTTCGTCTACATCAGGTGAAATTGAAGCCTTTGTTCCTAAGCATGTTAGTATTTCTCTCTTAAATGTTCAAATTTTCATCTGTTCTTTGATTTCCAGGTATGTGGTCCTCCTGGTATGATGCAAAACATATCTGGTGACAAGGCTAAAGATTACTCTCAAGGAGAGGTACTAAAAACACTTATGTTGCTACATTAATGGCTTAAACATTTACGAACCTAAACTACAGTCTTAAGACTTACTTCAGATTTCTAATCCCTCCATCCTTAGCTAATAGGGCGCATTTTTAGAGTAAATAATATAGAAAATATACCATAACTATCTACCATTATCATTTATTGGATTTTTACTTTGAGATGACCTAATATAGATTTGTACCCTATTATTTTGGGGGCGGAATGAGTATATGATTGAGCTGCCTAAGGGGGCTTCTCGCATGATGTTGCTAACTTTCTATGATAACCCACATCAGTATTCCTATTTGGTGTTGACTTAATTCATCATTATTGATTCGTTGCACCTTTGCAGGTAAGTGGAATACTCAAGGAACTTGGATATACAAAAGAAATGGTCTACAAATTTTGAGGGATCCTGCATAATTTACAGAAATAGGAAAAGAATTTGGATAACATAGTAGCATCTTGTAGCCTGAAGGGCACAAGTGTGCTATAAGTTAGAAATAATTCAATGAAAGTGCTCTGCTTTTATGGGTTTCGTCCTTTGGAGAAATGGACACTTGTTTTTCTGCACGTTCACCAAACTGAAGAAACATTTGTAGGGCGTTTTTAATGCTCTATTGTTGAAATGAAATGGGCATTGTTGGCTCATTTTGTAGATTTTCTTATATTTATCTGTGAATTTGATAATCCACAAATGAATTGGGGATTTATTTCAAGAAATTGAACAAGATACTATCTCTTCTTTTGAGTTTTAACTTGATAATGAATTATGATACAACAAAATGCACTTTGGGAAAGTTTTCATAGTTGTATTCAAACGACATGCATGGCTTGATGGCTAATATTTACAGAATGGAAAGGTATTCAAGCTGGGGATTCATACCAAGTCAAGTAGTCAATACTGGATGCCAGTTGAGTGAGGGAAAGGAAATTTTGGAATTAATTGTTGAGTAAGATTGTCAATCATAATGCGAGTCAGTAGTGGTACTAATTCGGACATAGCAGTTCTGTTTGAATCGGTTTAGAAGATTCGACCATATAGTAATAGGAATGGTCATGCTGTGGTTATCATTAAATGATTAGATAAGGGAAGTGGTTTTCGGTTATCATTTAATGATTAGGTAAGGAAAGTGGTTTTTGGTTGAATTTTTCTGAGGGGATAACCCAGCTTTTGCTAAACTCATGGCTCAAGAACAAAAATCAGGACTAACTCTTGCTCAGGTTGGCATGATTGATTAATAAATTACTTTCATCTTGAGTCTGATCTTTGACTTGTCAATTGTACTACGTACTTGCATTAAGTAAGATGATTAGCATTAAGCTGATCAAGTATTGCTAGAATTTCTAGTAAAGTCTTGAAGTTTACCATAATAGATGGATCATTTTCTCTTGCCGTATATTGTGGTGAATTGCTTTAGAATATTCTAGGGAATTTATGTATGTGTGCTGAATGGTAAGAATGAATAAGGAAAAATGATCTCAATTTATAGCAATCAGAATAATTCTCTTGCTGCAGGTTGATACAACAGCATGCTTGTGTAGAGTAGATCTGGTTTAAAATCTGTAGCTGGAGCAAAGAAATATGTCCCTGGGACAAGGTTATGTCTTCAACCTGACATCAAGCCTTCCATTCATCCTACACGGCAGAATCCTTCACGTGGTGACAGAAGTCGCAGTCAGTCTCCTTTCCTTCGAGGTCTCCTCAATGATCTGGCCATTGCTTGCTTAATTAGGTTCCAAGAGTAGAGCACCGAAAACTCTGATTAGTCTGCAAAAGATGATATCGTCTTCTTGCTGGCAACTTCTTTTATTCATTAAGGAGGAGTGTAGGAATTGCAGAAGAATGGGTGTATGTCATTAAGAGAAATCGAGATGCCAAATTATCATGGCATGCATCATTGCATTTGACCCAGCCTACCAACTCTGGTAACCCCTTACACCTGTTCCCAAAGCGTTCTCTGAAGCTTTAGGGTTTGGATGTGCTGTTTTAGTGGATGTCATTTATACCTCTCTGGAGGCAGGCATCCCGCTCAGTGAAACATGTCGTATTTTACAGTGCCCGAACAAATAAATGGCATGAGTCATTAACATCTGTCTGTATGTAGCCGGTGGAGAGAATGAGGGTATACACGTTCCCTGAGATCAGCTGAAGTTTATATATGACCCTAACAAGAATAGGTGGTCCGTAATATCTAATATAAATGCAGCCATGGTGCCTTTCATCATAGTTGTTTACGAGGAAAGGTGGTTCTTAAAAGGGCTTGGGACACACTGTCAGGTTTGAAGTGAAGTAGATCTCCAGAATCTGACAGTTAGTATCCAATTTATGATGGAATGACTGCAGGTTGGAGGATTCCCAGTGTGTCTTAGAACGGGAAGCTCTATGCCTTGGACTGCAAAGATGGACGTAAACTTAGGCTGTATGATGAGTCGAGTGATTCCTGGAGACTGGAGTAAACATATCCATAGTAGAGTTCATCTGGGAAACTCCAACGCTTTGGAGGCCGCAGCCCTTGTTCCTCTTAATGGGAAGTTAAGTATTGTGCGTAGTAATGTGAGCATTTCTTTGGTATCAAGATTTGAGCATGCAGGAAGTGCAGCAACTACTGACGATCTGTGGGAAACGATCACAGGAAAAGGTCAGTTCAAGACTAAAATGTCAAATATCTGGTCAAGTATTGGTGGTAGAAAACGCCTAAAAAGCCATATTGTCCATTGTCAGGTACTTCAAGCTTGAAACTAGGGTATACAACAAAGAGTCGGAAATAGGAAATTTGTGGTGTTTATGGCGTCTCTTGATGTAGCAACATTTAGGCACACGATGTGCCTAATATTTGCTATACTAGAGCGAGTAATGTACAAGCCTTTTAGTGCTGTGTTCTTCATGGGTGGGGGACATAGATTTTTAGAAGAGGAGAGAGATAGAGAAGAATAAAAATATGGACGCATGTAATGAGGAAAGAAGGAGAGAATACATGTGCAAATAAAAAAATGTTGCAATATTTGTAAAGCTTCTAAAAATGATAATTGTTGCACTATTTATGGAACGGAGGGATTATTAACTTTTTGTAACTTTATAATTATGTTTTTGTTTGAATAATCAAGTTTATAATTAAGTTTGTTATATAATGATATTGATTCAAAGATGTGCATTACAAAGAGGAAAAAGCAATTTTGAATAACTTTTTGGTGCGAAAAGAGTACACAGAATGAGAAAAGATTTTCCAAAGCAATATTCCTTGACAAAGTCTTCAATAAAGTAAAATGTGCCTAATTTTGGGCGGAGGAAATTTTTCAACAACAACGAAACCTAAGTCCCAAAATAATTTTAGGTTAGGTAAAATGAATCGTCATAAAAATACATGTGATATAGAAATTGGGACATAACAAGATAATTAATTGAAAGATTTTGAAATAATTGATTGAAAGAGTTTGGAAAAAAGTGAGGAAAAAAGGAGAATCCAAGAAAAATGAAAGGAGTATCCCTTATACTCTTTACAACAAATTCACAGTAACAGATTTCCCCAATAAAATTTAGAGACAGAACTCATATGATACAATGAAGAGAATAGCTGCAATTGTTTCATTGTTTGTGCCTTTGTGGCAAATGTATTTATAGACAGAACTCATATGATACGAGAGAGAAGAGCATGTATTTATAAGGTTAATGTGGTGGGAATTGATTTTAGGAGGGAAATGTTGGAGGGAGATTAAATGGGAGGGCATTGAAGTCTTTTCCTCATTTTTCCAACTAAAGCATTTCAAATTAACTAATTAAACATTTTATTAACGGCGTGCTTACTGTAGTAATTAGGTGAAAATTATGAAGATACCGCTGATAATAAAAATTTAATGATGAGTATCAAAGATAAAAGCCAAAAGATGGAGGTATCAGTAATAATTACCCAAAAATTCCAAAAAACTCGCCTCATCTATTTATTGGACGGATCCGAGCCATTTATAACTAGGGCGGGTTAGGTTTTTTAATGGGCGCTAATTGTCAATATAAGACGAAAAAAAACGGACGAACGTAGCCCTCTACGGCCCTTCCACCTCCTCCTCTCTCAACGTTCTCCATTGAAGCGCGCACTCAACGTTCTCCATCGAAGCAACTTACGAGGTAATTTGTTGTTTCTTTTTGTAATCATCATGTCAATTTCACAATCTAGGTTTTTTTATTGATTTAATTGTCAGTTTAGTAAGTTTAGGGTTCGACAATTTGAACTATTGATTCTAATTCTAATATAACCCGCGATTATGTTGTTAGAAAAGAAAATTATGACCCTAATTCAATAATTGAATCAATTGTACCTTTCTTCCCTTAAATCATGTGATTTTTGAGGTATAATATAATTGATTAATTGAAACTTTTTTTTTTTGGTGAAGGTGTTTTAATTGAAACTATGAAATCACCTAAATTTGTGTTCTTTTCTGTATTGTTTCTCTTGTGAGTTTTTTTTTATTTTTTTGGGTGGATTATATTGATTGATATGATATTAGTGATAATTCAGCATTATATTGATTGATATGATATTAGTGATAACAGGTTGAGATGGATAATGGTAAGTTTGTAGAAGATGGAGTTGGTTTCTCGGGAGTTGAGAAAAGTCCATTTGGTGATTTGTTTTCGGTGAGAATAAAGCATGATGCAGTTGACAAGTTTGATGTTTATGGTAACATTTTTGTTGAAGATGAAGATGGTACTTTTTGCATCTTCAATCGACAATTTGATGATGCCAGTCTTATAACTGGTTCCTTGCCTCTAGCTTTTAATCGGTCACTCCGTGCTAGATCAATTTTCACTCTCACTTTTGATCTCAAAGATAGAGATGGTAATACAATTGAGGGCAAAGTTGTTGCAAAATTTACTACAGGGAAAAATGGCAATTTTAAAAAGTTGGGTGTTGATCGTATCTTTGGTAGTATGGGTTGTGCAACCATATATTACACTTTTAACCAAGCAGCAGGTTTTTATGCTATAAAGGATGCTATTCTAATGAAACATTCTGCTAACTCTGAAGATGACAGTTGGGTTCGCGGAACCATTGTTTTTCAGTATGGAAGGCCGTTTGATTCTCGGACTCGTTCTCTTGCAACCCAAGACTTAGAGGACGATTGTCTTGATATTGTGCTATTTAACGCGACAAACCCTGTGCCATTGATATTGGATCATACGGGTTCTTGTTACAACATTCCTCTTCTAAGATCGCATCTGGTTGTACCGTATGGTTACTCCTCAATCATGAAATTCGACTTGGTTTATTCTGATAAGGGCAAGGTCGAACTTATTCGATTCAATAAAGACATTCCAAAGTATCCATTAGGTTTTGAGATGATCGTTTCTGACAAGGAAGGGGATGACATGCTTGTCAAATTGATGCTTAAATTACTAATCAGAAGAAGTTAGAGACACGGTTCTTAGAATTAACTCCCTACCTTTGTGTTATGTTTGTATTGGTTGTCACTTGGTAATTGGGATTGAGATTGGGATGGTTTAATTCCCATGTTTTAAGTACTTTGTACTATTATTATAACTTTGATATTAATTATTCTAAATTAATTCCCATTATAAGGGATTATCTTTTATTGAATTCTCAATCACAAATTCCTAATTCGATTTTCACCCTCTAATCCCTAAACTGTCATTATCATCATTTAATTAAAATATTGATTAATAAGTCTTGTGTACAACGGATGTACATTAATTTTATTGTAAAATGGTCGGTTTGAGCGTAACTTTAACTATTTTTATAGTAACTTTAACCATTTAAAGGGTAACTTTTAATTTGTCG